CACGCCATTCTGCCTCAGATTCCCAAGTAGCTGGTAGAAGATAGAGTCTCGCTCTGTCGCTCAGGCTGGAGTATGGTGGCGCGATCTCGGATCACTGCAATCTCCACCTCCTGGGTTCACGCCATTCTCCTGCCTCAGCCTCCCGAGTAGCTGGGATTACAGGCGCCCGCCACCTCGCCTGGCTGACTTTTTGTATTTTTAGTAGAGATAGGGTTTCACCATGGTGGCCAGGCTGGTCTCGAACTCCTGACCTCGTGATCCACCCACCTCGGCCTCCCAGGGTGCTGGGATTACAGGCGTGAGCCGCGGCGGCCTGTTCTTTAAAAAAAGTTTTTTTAATTCTTTTCTCTCTGCTTCTGTTTGGATGCCATCTGCTGACTTTGAGCCCCAGCCTTCAAGCTCCCGATCCTTTTCTTGCTGTTAGCTTCATCCAGGGAGTTCCATTTCAGAGGGATGTTTTCATTCTGGAATTTCTATGTGGTTCTTTATAGAGTTGCCATTTGTCTTCCAGAATCCTCCATTTTTCTGCTGTTTACATCAACACTTGCTGTCATCTCTGAGCATGTTTATAGTAGTTATTTAGGAGCTTTTGCTGGCTGATTCCAGCCTTGGTCATCTGCAGGTCTGTCCTCTTCTAGTGTTTTATTCTAATTAGAAGCCACATCTTCCTACCTCTTCACCTGCATCATCATAATTTCTTATCATAAGCCAGACATCGTATGGAAAAGAATGGCAGAGACTAAAGTGAAGAATCATCTCGCCCCAGCAGCCACTGCTGTCCGGTGTCAGGTGTGGCCGGCGCTGGCCTGCGCCTCTAGCTGGTTTTCGCCACCGGCAGCCGGACTCCCTGGGGCTTTCTGTTGAGCAGAGTGGGACACAGCGTCTTTTCTGCTTTCTGCGCTGTGGGAGGTGCCTTTCTCTGTGTCTGCCTATCTGCCTTCCTTCCTCCCTCTCCTGCCCGTTCGGTGGGATCCCTGGCAGGGGGTGCTGACAGACGGGGGCTGTTCCTGCATCTGGGGAGCTGCCCGGGTACTCTGGCCGTGACTGACCTCGGAACTGCTGCTCCCACCTCGGCCTGCCGAGCCCTCCTCCCCGGACCGGTTGCCTCCTGCAGCAGCCTCGTCCCTGGGGATGAAAGGAGCTGCCGTGTTCCTTCTGGTAGAACAAGCGCCTGCCTTTCTAGGATGTAGTGTATTTAGACGGTCCTCAACTCTTCTGACTGGCCTCCCAGCCTCCCCCTGGCTGTTCCCAAGTGACTGGGAGTCCCCTGGGCGTTTGGGCCACGTCTGGCTGCCCTGTCTGCCTGGCGGTCTGGCCTCCTTGGCCCTCAGGCCGCCACCACCGTGGGCCCCTCACACGTGTTGTTCCAGCTCTTGGGCTCCCTTCCCATCCCCTCATGTCTCCAGCAAGCTTGGTCTTCTCAGGGAGGCCTGCCCTGGCTGCCATCTTTGAAACTGCACCCGCTTCCCACCTGCCCCAGCTCCCAGCCTGCTTCCTTCCTGTGCAGCGGTTCCCTCTGAGGCGATGCAGGAGACACGACATTGGCGGGCTTGGGTTCCCGTGTCCTTCGCAGCCGCGGCTGGGCTTCTGGGGTCCTGTGTCCCTTGCAGCCGTGCTGTTGGCTCACGTGGGTGCATGCCCCCTGCCGACCCTTCCCCGGGGCGGAGCCAGAAATGGTGGCTCTGGCTCCGTGGCTCCTGTGCTGGGGCCCACGCCAGCCTTGGACTGCTGGGGTCGGGGCAGGCACGTCTGCCCGGGGTGGCTTTCTCTGCCACTCCACTCGAAGGGGACAGGACATGAGCCCAGGGGGCCTCCCTGGTCTGGAAGGTTCCCTCCCGCCCCCTTTGCCGTCTCCACCTAGTCGTGGCTGGAACTGAGATGCCAGAGACATCGATGGGTGGACCGGAAAGCAGGCCAGTGGAGGGACCTGGGCACATAGGGCGTGTGTGGGGTGAGTGGAGACCCGCTGACGGTCCGTTTGACACTGAGTGGTTCGTGTCACGTCCTGTGGACAGGCTGCAGGGGGGGCGTGGCTGGCAGCTGGTGTGGGCCGAGGGGCTCGTGCACCCTTTCCACCCCTGTGCACAGCCTCCGCCTTGGCAGTGGGCGCATTGGGAGCAGACACCTCGTGTGGAGACACCTCGCGCCGGCACCTTGGCTTGACCACAGCTGGTGTCCTCCTTGGCAGATGGTCAAACTGAGGCACAGGGGCCACTCCGATCCTGGCTGTCAGGGCCAGCCTCCCAGCCACGGGTGAGCGAGGGTCTCACACTGTGTCCTGACACCACCAGGTCGCGTGGGGCAGGCGGTGGCGCTGCGGGCCAAGGCCTTCGGCTTCAACGTGCTCTTCTACGACCCTTACCTGTCGGACGGCGTGGAGCGGGCGCTGGGGCTGCAGCGGGTCAGCACCCTGCAGGACCTGCTTTTCCACAGCGACTGCGTGAGCCTGCACTGCGGCCTCAACGAGCACAACCACCACCTCATCAACGACTTCACCGTCAAGCAGGTGCGTGGAGCCGGGGGCACAGGGCTCTCCTTCTGCGGGGCAGGCACAGGTGGGGGTGTCAGGAAGGTCCCTCCCAGCAGCCACCTGCACCTGGGCGAGACCCTGCCTTCAGTGAGCCACATGGCAGCGGTGCCGGCCCTGCTGGGGGAAGCCCTGTCTGCCCAGACGGCGTTTTCCATGTTCTGAGTTCTACCCAGGATGCCTGAAATACTCTCTGGACAAGACAGAACCACATACCTTTGAATCCTAAATTCCCCTGAAGCTCTTGCCACTGTCACAGTGGAGATGATGCAGCTACCTGGGGGCATTGGGCCTGTCCTTCTGACTTCCATCCTGTGCTGCCAGGTTCAGGTTTCACATCTGCAGCTGGAGAGGGCTGTGCTCAGGTCGGCCTCTGCCTCAGCGGAGCGCGGAGCGCAGCCTCAGCCCATGTTTCCCTCGGGTGGGCGGAGCTCGGGTGGGCGGAGCTGGGGACGGCTGCCTCCCGCCGGCTGTTGGCCTTTCAGGGAGTCGTTATGTGTGCACGGTGATGTGTGTGTATGTGGGCAAGTGTGTGTGGGTGCCTGTGTCTGCCCGTTTGAGCTTGTATGTGCTTGTGTGTACACACGTGTCAGAGGCCACCCACCCCACTCAAGCTGCCCCAGCAGCCTGTAGCCACAGGGAGGATGAAACCAGGTGCCCGCCTCCCCTTCCTTTGTTCACAGAGCCAGTGGGTTTGGAGCCTTCTAGTGGACAGGGTGTGGCACGTGGATGCTGGTCAGGGCCCTGCCATCCCTGAGGACCTTGGGTGTGAGGCTGCAATGGGCAGCAACTCACCAAAGAAAAGCCACCGTGACCCACCCGGCTGCCACCCAAGCGCGATGGCTGGATGGGCTTCCTCGGAATGAAATGGGGGGGTTGCAGGAAAGCCCTGGCCACGAAGCTGACAGGGAGCCACTGCAAGGGCCTTTTGCAAAAGTGCATGAAAAGTGAGCCTGTCCAGAGGCTCTGCTGCAGGCCCCACTGGGGTTGGAGTCAAACACCACGCCTCAGAGTAGACGGCCCTGGGCTTTGTCATCCCAGGGAGTCCCACCTCGTGGGCCGAGGCCCTGTTGGGGGAGGCTGGGCTGGAGGGGACCCAGAAAAGGGGTACCACAGGGGGACCAAGCCAGGAGCCCCCACCCAGTCCTCAGCTCAGGGCTTGGGCAGGAACGTAGAGCTCTCTAGGAGGTGTGGGGCCGTGCAGGTCTGCACAGGGCCGAACCTCAGCCAGCTTGCCAGGGCCGCGGTGCAGCACGCCTGAGGTCTTAAGTCCTAGCACCCTGGTGAGCCCAGGGTGGGCCTGGGCTGGGAAGGGGCCAGGGAGCTGGGCCTCCTCAGCAGCGTGCGTGACCACCTTGCTTCCCTGGCCGCTCGCCCTGCGCGGAACCCTGACTGGGCCTGGTCTGTCCTCATGTCTTCCAGATGAGACAAGGGGCCTTCCTGGTGAACACGGCCCGGGGCGGCCTGGTGGACGAGAAGGCACTGGCCCAGGCCCTGAAGGAGGGCCGGATCCGCGGCGCGGCCCTGGACGTGCACGAGTCGGAACCCTTCAGGTGCCCTCACAGCCAGTGTCACCCCCTGCTCTTCCCTGCCCACCATCCTGCCGGCCTTGACCTGCAGATGGCGCCTCCGCCAGGCCGGGCACTTACTTGTACTCAGGCCTCTCGCTGGCTGGCACAGGGGAGTTTGCTGCTCACTGTGGGGTGAGGATGGAGCCACGGGCTCCAGGCCTGCCTCGCCTCGGTCCTGTGAGGGCTGATCGTCCTCCTCAGCCCCTCTTCGGGCAGGGCTCCCCACCAGCCAGGAGAGAGTGAGGCCCCAGTGTCCGTGAGTGGTCCCCACGGGCCCTGGCCATGGAGTCATGGCGTCACGTCCAGATCTGCAATCCCTGCAGCGCCCTGGGACCCCAGGCAGCCCTGGCTTGGATGGTCAGCCACAGGAGGAGACACCCCGCAGGGGCAGTACCAGCCTGCAGCTCCTGGGGCTACAGGACCTTCGGCCGGGAGGGGCCAGGCCAGCATGTCCCCCCATCAGGGCTCCTCCCCCAAGGGGCTTAGAGATTAAATCCTTTGGGCTCCCACACCCGCTGCTGTCAGGAGCCCCTGGTGTGTCTGATGGTCCTGGGGCAGAGCTCTTGTGCTCAGCCCGCCTGCCGAGCGGAGCGGGGCCGTGGGGTCTGTGGGTCCCAGGCAGGGCCCCCCACAGGGGTTCCAGTGCCCAGCCACTTCTCCCCCGCACCCAGCCACAGCACGCGGGCTGCACTGACCATGCTGTGCTGTTCCCAGCTTTAGCCAGGGCCCCCTGAAGGATGCACCCAATCTTATCTGCACCCCCCACGCTGCGTGGTACAGCGAGCAGGCGTCCATCGAGATGCGAGAGGAGGCGGCACGGGAGATCCGCAGAGCCATCACAGGTAGGCCTGGGGGACCCTTCCTGCCAGCCCCAGGCCTGGCTCATGGGCTCGCATCCGCCCGGCAGCCAGGCCCATGTTCTGCCAGCTCAGGGCCCGGGACCTCTAAGGCCAAAGTCAGGTTGAGCTCTGGCGTCGTCTTACACACAAGAGCTGCTGGGAAGTTGCTGGGCTGAGCAGACAGGTCCCTCAGCAAACTGGGCACATGCTCTGGGCTGGGGGTCCCCACACTGCGAGGGTTCTGGTGCCCTGAGAGACAGGAACCTGCCATGCCTTGGGAGCCCCGGGGCTGAGAGGGAGGAGCACACTGCCGAGAGCCCTACAGCCCGTGTCTTCAACCCAGTGGGCCACGCTCCTGGGGCCCCCTCAGAGCCACAGCTATTCCTTCCTCCTGCGTCTCCCAGGCCGGATCCCAGACAGCCTGAAGAACTGTGTCAACAAGGACCATCTGACGGCAGCCACCCACTGGGCCAGCATGGACCCCGCTGTCGTGCACCCTGAGCTCAACGGGGCCGCCTATAGGTGAGCAGGCCTGCTGGCCCGGAACAGCCACCAGGAGGGCCCGAGGCTTCCCCTGGATCCCAGCACAGCCCCTGGCGGGAGGGGCGGCGTCTCCACTGACTGACCTGGAGGATCTGGGTGGAACTGGTAAGGCCCACCTCACCCGAAAGGCCTCTTGGAAGGAGCTGGGGTGGCCTTCAGGACCCAGTGCACACAGGACTACTGTGGGCACGGGGCCTGTGGGAGGAGGGGGCTTTGGGTGAGGCAAAGACCTCATGTTCAAGTCGCCTGGAGACACCAGGGCTCCCCTCCCCTGCCCTGAGAAGTAGCCCCCGTAGGCGGGAGCATCCGTGCGGAGGCGGGATCCTCACCCTGACTACTGGTCCCCCTGGAGCCGCCCCCTCAGTGCTGCAGACACTGTGAGGGCAGGTGGGGCCCGGTCAGGCTGCCTGTAGGGGGGCCTCACAGATGGACCCTCTCCCAGCAGGTACCCTCCAGGCGTGGTGGGCGTGGCCCCCACTGGCATCCCAGCTGCTGTGGAAGGTATCGTCCCCAGCGCCATGTCCCTGTCCCATGGCCTGCCCCCTGTGGCCCACCCACCCCATGCCCCTTCTCCTGGCCAAACCGTCAAGCCCGAGGCAGATAGAGACCACGCCAGTGACCAGTTGTAGCCCGGGAGGAGCTCTCCAGCCTCAGCGCCTGGGCAGAGGGCCTGGAAACCCTCGGACCAGAGTGTGTGGAGGAGGTGCCTGTGTGGCGGCCCTGGCACTGCAGAGACTGGTCCGGGCTGTCAGGAGGCGGGAGGGGGCAGCGCTGGGCCTCGTGTCGCTTGTCGTCCGTCCTGGGGGCGCTCTGCCCCGTGTCCTTCGCGTTCCTCGTTAAGCAGAAGAAGTCAGTAGTTACTCTCCCACGAACCTTCTTGTCTGTGTACAGTTTTTAGAACATCACAAAGGATCTGTTTGCTTCGCTGTCAACAAAAAGAAAACCTGAAGGAGCATTCGGAAGTCAATTTGAGGGTTTTTTTTTTTGGTTTTTTTTTTTTCTTTTTTTTGTATGTTGGAACGTGCCCCAGAATGAGGCAGTTGGCAAACTTCTCAGGACAATGAATCCTTCCCGTTTTTCTTTTTATGCCACACAGTGCATTGTTTTTTCTACCTGCTTGTCTTATTTTTAGAATAATTTAGAAAAACAAAACAAAGCTGTTTTTCCTAATTTTGGCATGAACCCCCCCTTGTTCCAAATGAAGACGGCATCACGAAGCAGCTCCAAAAGGAAAAGCTTGGGCGGTGCCCAGTGTGCCCGCTGCCCATCGACATCTGTCCTGGGGATGTGGAGGGTGGCAGCGTCCCCGCCTGCACCGGTGCCGTCCTGCTGATGTGGTAGGCTAGCAATATTTTGGTTAAAATCATGTTTGTGACTGTAACCATTTGTATGAATTATTTTAAAGAAATAAAAATCCCGGAAAGAGCCAGTTTGCCTAGCATTTGTTCTAGTGGCTTTCTCTCATGAGGACACGGGTGAGCCTCAGTCCTGGCTCTGGTGACCTCCAGGGCCTAGCTCAGCCTCTCTGAAGTAGGCAGCCTAAGAGAGACTCAGAGGCAGTGCAGTGGCAGGTTGGGCAGTGGTCTCTGTGTGTACCGGGCCTGTGCCTCTGCCCACTGGGTCTGTGGGATGCTGTAGGGTCCTGGCTTGGAGGTGGCCTGCCCGAAGTGCCCCTGTGGGAGGGAAGCAGTGTGCCAGGCCGGGCCTGCCCCACTGCCCACCCCCTCCCTTCTTGGCATACCTCCCGCAGGCCGGCCTGTGACCTGGGAAGACTGGGCCACAGGAGGAGGAAGGAAAGCAGATGTCAGGACTGAGGAAGTTCCCCAGACCATGGGTCACCCAGCCTACAGAAATGTGCAAAAAAGCCAAAAGGGGTCGCACCTCACCTTGGCCCACAGCTGGGCTGGATGTTCAGCCGCAGGAGGAGACACCCCCGCAGGGGTAGTATCAGCCCGCAGCTCATACTGAAAACAGTTTACTGGCGTCCTTCTCGAAATCCCAGCCTCCTGGTTTCTCAGAGCTTTTTTGGGGAGTGTGGTCTGTGCACATCAGCAGAGTCCCAGCTCGTTTATAAGCGTACGTTAACTTTGATAGCGAATCTCCAAGTGAAAAAAGTACCACAGAAACCTCAGAGGAGCGTTTCCAGGCAAACTCCTGCAGGCGGGTCCAGGTGGCGCGAGGAGGGGCTGCAGCGGGTGCTGGGGGAACCCGGGTCCCCTCAGGACGTCCCCATCCCGAGCCTTTCCCTGCGTGCAGATGGGTTCTCCTGCCACCCCAAGTGTCCAGACCCTGCAGCGTCAGCCCCCAAGTGTCAGCCTCCCCTTGCTCCCAGCCCCATCTAAAGCAGAGGCAGAGGGGAGGCCGCTGCCTTTGGCAGGGGTGCCCCCTCCTACCTGGCTCTGCACCCCAGTGCCCACAGAGGTCTCTTGGGTATGGGCAGTGGCTCCCGGTCTTGAGACCCACGCCGAGGGCAGCCCCGCCTCATGACAGGCCTCTGCTCCCTGCCGCCCAGCCCATCTCTGACCTGTCTGGGGCTCATCCTGGAGCCCCTGGGTCGCTAAGGGAGGTGGCCTGGGCGGGTGGGAAGGGTGGGTTCTGGACACAGTTAAGGAGCCAGCCCTGGTTTCGCCGACGTGGGCATGGGTGTGAGGAGGGGCAGCCAAGGTGACTTCAAGTGTCTGGGCTGCGGGCTGGAGCTGATGTTTTCTGATATCGCCGGTGTGGGCTGCAGAGGTGTCAGTGGGAAGACCAGGAGTTCCATGCTGACCGCTGGCTCCAGCCTTTGCACAGGCAAGCCCTGGGCTGGGTCACTGGGCCCTGGTCAGCCCCTACAGCAGCCGAGGGTGGGGCTGGCCTCTGGCAGGGTAGGCCGCCCTCCCAGCTCCAACTGGAGACAGGCCCCGCCCCGAAAGGCAGCCAGGCACCGGGAACTAGCTCTGGACACAGGCCTGGAGGCTCCCACTCAGCTGGCCTCATTGTTTCCATGTTTCCAAGTAGAAGGGTCAGGGCAGGAATAGAACACCTCCAAGGGCTGTCCGTGGTGTGAGGCTGGCGGCCAGGGAGCCGGGACGCTGAAGTGTGACTGAGTCTGGGATGTAAGGGACAGAAAACTGTCAGAAAAGTGTTCTGAGCCTCGAAACGAACCTCCCCTTGGTGCTACCTCGGGGGAGTCACCCCGCCCAGCAAGACTCGCAGGATTGATTTTCCAGCAAAAAACAACGTCTAGCAAGGGTGCGGGGTAGCAGGATGTCGGCGGGGTTGGGGGGGGCCCTCAGCCTCAGTTTCCTGGCCTGTGAAATGGGCAGCACTGTTTATTTCCCTCGAGGTTGGTATTAGACTGGAGGTTGTGCCAAAACCTAACATGAAATAAGGTTTGCATGTTGGAAGGAAAGAGATAAGCCGCTGGTATTTGCTGACAAGCATCTGTGTACAAGACTCAAGAAAATCAGCCAAAGCCTGCAGCTAATCCTGGGACTGGCCAGGTGGCCTCACAGGAGCGCCTGTGGTGCCCGCCAACTGTCCTGCCCAACCTGGGACAGAAACAAACAAAAGTTGCAGACAGCGGGTGCCCTGTGACAGGACGTGTCCTGCTCTGTCCTTACAACGCAAGGTCTGGCCCGCTCGCCCGATTCCACAGTGAGTGGGCACAGTGGTCAGAACCTGGTCCCAGCCACTGGCACCCGGCTGGTAAAGACCGTGGGAGTGACTGGGGCCGCCAACTGTGGTGAACGACGAGGCCGCCAGATGACGAGACGGGCTGTGCTTGCGGGCGGCGGGCTGTTAATGTCGTCAAATACATGCCCTTTAAATACATTTTACCAAGTGCTAGAGACGTTCATCACCACCCCAGGCAAAATTTCAACTGCTTACGTTGAACAGATTCAATTTTATCCTCAAATTTATATGTAGCAACAAAGGTCTATTAATTTGGGCTCATAAAACTCAGGCATATTGAAGAGGGAACAGCCACAGCAGCCTAGTTCTGACACCAGGGACTCCGGGGCAGGGACTGGGCCCGCTGGCTTGGCGTGTGCTTGCGTGCAGGTGCGTGGGTGTCTGCCTGGTGGGCAGGCGTGTGCGTGTGCGTCTGTGTGAACTGGACGTGTGATCAAGGGCACAGGTCCTGGGCTTCCCCCTCATGGGTAAAACAAGAGCTGCCGTATGCCAGCCTCGGAGGCATGGACGGCCCCTGAGCTCGGACAGCAGAGGCACAGGCCATTGACGCGTTGGCACCATGGCCAGAGTCCGTTCAAGAAAGGTCGGCAGAGAGGGCTAAGAACGCGGCAGGCACACCCTCCAACGGCTCTGCTGGAACCCCTGGAGCAGGAGGAAGCAGTGATTCTCCAGGCCTTGGGTAGGGCTCAGAGGCAAGAGGGGTGGAGCTGGGGAGGGTCGGGCAGCCCCAGCTCCTCAGGCTACTGCGCCTTGGTGGGGAACTCTCCTGTGGCTGCTGATGAATACCCTGACTCTGGTCTCCTGTAGACCTCTGCCTGGGCACGGGAGCAAGGGGAGGCTGCAGGTAGCTCTGGGGGCCTGGGCAGGAAGTTGGGAGGATGGGGACAGTCCTTCTGGGGTGACCCAAGCAGGGCACAGAGTAGGGGGAGCTAGGCTCTTCGGGGCCGCACCCCATCCTGCCTTCTCTCCCCACTGTGGGCCCAGAACTTGCCCCGCAGAGGCCGGAAAGCACCCACCACCCCACCCCTAGCTGCGCTCAGCCAGAGCCCAGCTGGACTTGCAGGATTGATTTTCCAGCAAAAAACAACAGCAGAGAAGCCCAAGAGAGGCCCAGCTGCACAAGCCCTCCCAGGCCTCCCCCTACAGCCGGCACTCCCTGCAGCAAAGAAAACCATCTGGCCACTGGGCCCTGAGCCCGGTGCCCGGAGGAGGACCTCTGCCCCGCTGAGCAGCTCTGCTCCCCAGGCTGGCCCCAGGCCTCTCCTGGCCTGACCCGCTCTGCCTGGCATCAAGCCCCAGCAGGAACGGGGTGACCCAGCCAGGGCGTGGGTCGAGTTGGTGTTCCCCAGCCCCGCTGAGCACCAGCACCTGGTGAGTCTACCTCTGCTTCCCCAAGCCCTTGACCACTCCCCTGGACAGCCTCAGCCACCCCCTGACCCGACCTTCACACAGCAGCCAAGGGCTTCCCACGTAGAGTCCGAAAATATCCCTGTTAGGCAGGACGTGCGACTTGAACAATATAAGGTTAGGCGCATCTGTAAACACAGCGCAGGGTCAGGCAGCCGGACCCTCTGGCACCGTCTGTAAGCGCGGCTCATGGAAACACCGGCTCTTCCGGGCGGCCTCTGTGCTGCCCTTTCTTTTTTAAACCAGCTACCGGCGCCATTGGTCAGTGGTAGCAGCGTCTGTAGGATCCCTCTGTGGTGGGCTCGCCACTCACTCTCCAGGTCCCTGACGCAAGCTGCCTCCAGCCGGGGGTGCCCACTAGAGGGGACGTCAGGGACAGCCAGGGCCAGGGCTATGGACGCTGGTGGGATGAAGGGTGTGGGAGGAGCCAGACTCACCCACATCCCTCCCAGCCCCTGCAGGTGTCTGGGCCTCCAGCCTCCACCCCTCTGTGCAGTGGGCGGTCACACCTGATGGAGCCCGGCTGCCTACCTAGAGAGCAGGTTCTGAGCAGCAGCCCTGGTATCCCAGGTCAGCCTCTGCCCAGCCCCACACTCACCTGACAGTGCCTCCCCGGCACTGCCCTGCACCTGCCCACACCAACTCCAGCCCCCTCCACGTGCCCCCCACCCACCCCGCACCTGCTCAGACCTAACCCCATCCACCCCCAACCAACGCCATCCACCCCCACCTACCTCCAACTGCCCCACATCTGCCCCCACTGCCTCTTCTCCTGTCCCCATCTTCCCCCACCCTCCATGTGTCTCCCACCTGTCCCCTCACCTGCTCACACCTGTCTGCCCCTCACCTGTCCACTCATGGTCAAAGCCACCTGCTTTTACACCCACCCCACACCTGGGGTTCGCCTTGAACTGGGGTTTGTTCTCTGCTGCTGGCGGGGCACCCTGGCTCTTCTGTCCCCTGAGGGAGACCTCGCAGGGCAAGGCTGCCTCCCCACGAGGAGCCTCAGGTCCTGCCTCCCCGTTCCACCTGCAGAGCTGAGTCTGGAGAGGCTCCTTCTATTCCAAGAGTCCCATTCAGCCCACTGGGTCCCCGTGCCCCGAGGAGCTGCTGCTCTTGCTGGGCGCCTCAGCCCTCCCACAGGGGACACATCTGTCCTGGAGAGACCACCTAGGGAGGCATTTGCTGTTGGTCCCTGCCCTGGGCCCTCCAGGTCACTCCCTCTTCTCGTCTGTCACAGCATGGCCCTCTGGCCCCACAACCTGGGCTGCCAGCCTCCCCTGCCCTGGCAGAGCAGTGGTGGGGCCAAACCAAGGGCTGACAACCCCCAGTCCAGTCAGCTCAGCC